GCGGTGCAATTAAGCACGCCTATAACCATGGAATTTTCTTTCCACAGAGAGGTTCCACACATGTTGGAAGGCTTTGGTCAAAACTTTCCCTTATCTCCCTCTCAGACCAGGCTTGGATGTCACCATATGGGCATTGATCACTGATAGCTTGGTGCTTGTGTGATGCTTGCTTTGTGTTATTGCCACACTAGAATAAAAGTTGGCATCTGCAACTGGTTGAAAATTCAGCAACTCGGGAGGTTGCAACCTGAGTCATTGTTTTGGTTTTTCCTGAATTCAGAGTTTTGAGTCCTGGGTTGCTGTAATTTTTATGAAAAGAAAAGTATTAATATTTAAAAATTAATTATTTAAATGTTTATTTTGTTGAAAAAAATATACATTGAAAAATGATTATACAAAACAAACACTATTTTACAACTTTCCTCTTAACATCAAAGCCCAAATGCAATTTCAGGGCCACCAACCCTGCTCTGAATTGTGACCTCCTGTGTTTGAAACGAATTGCAGATTCTCGTTGCTTTGATGATCTGGATGTTTATGCGCACCTAATATCACAACTCTTCAAAATGCTGCAGAGTTGCAACTTGGTCACAGTGCCATCCTTACCCTGAAGGTAGGATCGTTGCAGGCAACTTTTCGGCTAGCATTTCAGCGGCTTTCTCTGGTCTGGATGCTGTGAGGGAAGATTAGTGAAAGTGTCATTGACGATTGATGCAATCTCGATAAACTCCAGATCCACGCGCCTTCTGGAATTCAGTTGCATCATCATATCTTTAGGTCGTCGAGTCAAGATTAGCCTTTTGTACACGAGGAAGATGCGAGAATGACTGTAAAATGTTCAAGGTAGAATAGCGTGCGTGCTTCAACACTTGCCAATTTCTTATAATCAAACGTCACATACTCATTGTTTCAATTGCGCTGCCTTGACATCTTCTTGTAATTATAATATTTATAATAGTATTATTATTGATTACGAAAAGTAAAATATTATCAATGAAAATCTTGTAATTACCCAGCATTGATCTGCTCCGCGTTTTGATTTCCAATTAAAATGTTTATATAAAATAAAAGTATCAATCAATAAAATAAAAAAAAGTACCTCTGGTTAGTTATTAACACTTCTTCTTTAGGAGACCCAAACCAAACCAAACAACACTCGCGTTTTGTCACCTTGGACTCTGTCAAAAAATAAATTGTTTTTCCAAAAAAAAAAAAAAAAAAATCAAATTAACGTCTGTCCTACCAAAAAAAAAACCAATGTACATGTCGATCAATCATAACCTTCTTTTTCCAACTGTAAAAAAAAGACTTTTAATCTTTTTTCAACTCATTTTAACTCATTTACAATTAGATATCTCGCATAAAAAAAAAGGATTCAACAAACTCTCAATCTCATACTTTTCATTTTAATTTCTATTATTATTAAATATGTCACAAGGAACTAGTAGAAGAAATCGCGATAATTATTGGGAAGAAGTAAAAGGGTAAGTCACTTGTCTTCATTTAAAAGAATGGTGGTTACAAATCATAGTGGAAATTTGTTGAATGCTATATGTTACACATAGCCCGTTTTCCTTGAAAATTCATTAGCATATAGTCTTCACCTCTCTAAATCGGGGATACAATTGAGATACAATTGAAACTCAGTTTATCACCTACTTTTTATTGAGAGAACATTCACTGTGTATTGTAAAACTCCACTAACATTTCTTCTAGTTCTTCAGCTTTCTTTTTTAATTGTATTAATTCTTGATTATTTTCAGGTGCTGGAATTCCTTTTACTACCATAATATATTATTTTAATAAAATTTTATATTGGTTTTGGACAAGTAATGTCTTTAAATTCATCCCTTACAAATGGGCGAATATTATTATAAAGGTATTCTTGCCTTTTATAATCCAAAGGAGGTGGTGTTAACACTAAAATAGATAAAGATTTAATTTCTTCAAAAATATCTGCTTTCTTGGTTTTCAATAAATTGAACTCAACAAAAGGTCCATTAGCAATTTCTTGAACTTTCACTGTACCAAAATTAGATGCTTCAAAAAGAAAATGTTGATACTTTTGTAAACCATTTAGTTTCTTAAAATAAATTCCCAAAATAGCTTTAAGATCTAAATATTGAAAACCTTTTCCACCTTCATAACATTGAGTTTTATTCAATCCTGCTGGACTAGACTTTTTGATCACTTCAACCACATGGCCCACACAATCTACTCTTGTTCTTCTATAGAGTTTTTTAATCAAGCCAAAACTACCATCACACTTGAATTTGGTATGTCCTGGAATCATGAAATTCAATTCAACACTTTCATAATATCCACAAATTACTAAATATAAATAAAATCAAATAGTCACATTATTTTTATTTTGTCCACCAGCATTATCGCAAGTAATCTTTAAATATTTTTCACCTTTATTTAATTTCTTAATTCCATCAAAGATCATACTAAGAGTGCCATTAGGACCTTTTCCTATGATTTCATTTTCATCAAGAACATAATTGATTTGTTCTCTTACTGCTTCATCTTGAATACCAAATAAATGAACTTTACGTGGACTAAGGTAATAGATTTTACTTACTTGTTGATCCAAATGTGGCACATGAACATTTTGGGCTCAATCATAACTGTAATGTGCAGTAGCATCAATGCTGCGATATTGTGTTTTACCCTCTGAATAATGTTGATTAACTAATTTTCTTTGTTCTTCTGCTAATTTTGTATTTTTATTATAATAATTTCTTTCTAATCTTGCCTTGGACAAATGTTCTTTAAATTTTATAAAATAATTATTTATCTGAAATGTTTTAATACCTTCATGATAATATAGCCTTCAAATGCATTCTTCTGTAATGTTATATCATGTAGGCTATCTCTTAAATTATCTTGTTTAATAGTCTTTTCTTCCAAAAGTTTGCTTAATTCTTCATGCATTTCATTATAATATTTTGGCCAACAATCCAACAATCAATAATCTCTGAAATCTCAAATTGATACATATCCTTCAAAGTTACACAAACTAAACAACTATTACAACCTTTATACCAATCTAACTTCAACAATACTCCACCTGTAATGCTTACAGCTGGATTAATTCCATTACCTCTATTAACTTTGTATATCCAATATTTACTTCTCACAAAAACTTCAATCATTCTTCAGGACCTGGATTATTATAATTGAAGTAACATACAGGCTATTAAGTAAATTTCCAAAACTTTATCCAAAATCTTATTGGCCAATTGTGACGATCACCGATATAAATAGACTAATTCATCTACAAAATCACGTGGTGGTGCTTATCATCGCTTTTTATGGTAGGATTTTTCAATTTTTTTATTAACTTTATCCTAAATTTACATGTACTGTAACTTCAGCAAAAAACTTTATCAAAATCGGATGTTACCTCAATTATAATAATCTGGGGTCCTCATTCTTCACATCATCACCTACAATCTAATAATTTTCTATTGCAAAAATGTGTGAACTCCACAATGTGCTTTGTTTAACACATGGTTAAAACAAATAATATCAACTTAAAAAATAAAATAACTAATCAATTATACACAATTAATCAGATAGCACAAATGCCTTCAAGACCTTTTTAAATGCTAACTCTAATTCTAATAATTCTCACTTAGTTTTAATAAACAACTTAATTAATACTGGATCTGACTTCCTATTACCTAGATAATATCCAGATCAGTCAACAATATCTATGATTCAGTTAAAATTGCTAAATTGAGACTTTATGGACTTCATAGGCTTTTCTTGGTATACCTGTTTTTAATTATTTTCAAGAGGAATAGCCTCATATAAAGTTAATCTAGAAGCTATTTTGTGAATGAGCAAGATATTGTCTTTATTAAAAAAAAAAAAAAATTCAAATTCATAATGAATAAAATTCAAATAGAAACACTACATCATCATCAAGATCCTTCTACACCTCCTTCAATAATAATAATTGGTGTTAGGGAATAAAATTCTCCTAAATTTCTTCCTAAACTCCCACGCCTTCAAACTCATAGCTTGATTGGTCCTCATTAATCCCTCCTCCTCCCTCCATTTATCACAATTAATCCTCTTCCTAATTAAGTGATTCATCAATATTTCCTGCTCTTCAAGGCCCAAGGCGACCT